GCTCCAGTTCCTTCATCATCTTCATGGCCTTCATCTCTCTCATAAAATCATCGAATGTTGTGAGTTGGAAGGACCCACAAGGATCATGGAGTCCAACTCCTGTCCCTGCACAGGACAAGCCCAACATTCACACCATGTCCCTGAAGGCCTTGGCCAAATGCTGCTGGAATCTTGTCAGGCTTGGTGCCATGAGCACCTCCCTGGGGAGCCTGTTCCAGTGCTCCACCACCCTCTGGGTGCCTCAAGAACCTTTTCCTCATGGCCAACCTCACCCTCCCCTGCCACATCTTCCTGCCATTTCCTCTGCTCCTGGCATTCGTTGGTGGCCAGAGAGAAGAGATCAGCGCCTGCCCCTCCTCTGCCCCTTGGGAGGAAGTTCTAGACCACCATTTCCTCTTGTCCTGTCACTTGGTCCTTGGTTGAACAGACCCACCCCCACCTCTCTCCACCCTCCTCCAAGGGACTTGCACAGAGACACAAGGTCTCCCCTCAGCCTCCTTTTCTCCAGGCTCAACACCCCCAGTTCCCTCAGCCACAAGGGAACTCAGCACACTTGTGCTCCAGACCCTTCCCCAGCTCCGTTCCCTTCTCTGGACACGCTCCAGCACCTCCATGTCCTTCTTCTCAGTGCAATATCTCAAATCTGGGCAACCCAGTTCACTGGTGCAGCTCACACCTCCTGGTTTTCTCACTCCACAAGTCCACGTGAGGAGATCTTTCTTACACAGGTTGAGTCCGTGGTTTTCTTGTGCTTTTTGTTAAACCTGAAGATAACTGCTCATGTTTGGATTAGATGTTGGTCCTCAGCTTTGGAGGGAAGGGCTGGTGAGGAGAAAAGGAGGTTGGGGTGGACTTTGAGGTAGGGGAGAGCACCTGGGAAGGAGATTGGAAAGGAGAAGTAAGAAATGAGAATGAATTTGAGCGTAAATAACTCAAGAAGTCCAGGTCTGCAAGAAGTACAGACTATCAGTTGATAAGACCAGGTAGAAGATTGATTGTCCACAGGTTGATGTGGACAGCTTGGTATCAGAAGAGGTAAGAAGAAGCAGAAGTGCAAGCTCAGTGCATCTGGACTCGGCTGCTTTCACCGATGACGAGCTGTGGGGTTGATCCAAGTTCTCGTGTCCAACACCTTCCTGCTCTGTGGCACCAGCCCAGTGTCATTTGTAAAGTGCCATCTTCTTGCTCTGGTACATGTACATGTAGGCGTCGCAGAAGAGGCGCTTGGCCACTCCATCCATATCCCGAGGTTGCTCCAAGGCCAGTACAGCCAGTGGCAAGTCCAGGTATTTGGCAACTTCAGGGCACAACGTTACCATGGGAATGTTGAAGCCGTTTTCATCACCTAATCCAGAAAGAAGGAGAAAAGTCCAAACTAGGTCCCATGGGATGAGAACCTACAGCTCAAGCAGATACCATCACACTCAACAATAACGTAGAATCATAGAATCATGGAATGGTTTGGGTGGGAAGGGACCTTAAAGCTCATCCAGTTCCAATCCCCCTGCCAGCAGCAGGGACGTAGGACCTTAACTGAGGGATCTGGAGGCCAACAACAAAGTGGGGAAGGACAGGAGAATGGTCTTTGCCCACACAGCAGTCCCAGCTGGCTCAAGAAGTCCTTTGTTTGAACATAACAGAAGGAGAAAAATCCAAACCAGGTCCCATGGGATGAGTGTCTACAGCTCAAGCAGATACCATCACACTCAACAGCAACAAAGTGATTTAGCTGAGGGCACTGGAACAGGCTGCCCAGAGAGGTTGTGGAGTCTCCTTCTCTGGAGACCTGCCTGGACACCATCATTTAGGTTCCTGCTCTGGCAGGGGGATTGGTTTAGATGATCTTTCGAGGTCCCTTCCAATCCCCAACATTCTGTGATCTGAAGACCAACAACAAAGTGGGGAAGGAGAAGAGAACGGTCATCACCCACATGGCAACCAGTCCCAGCTGGCTTGGGAAGTCCCTCTTGTGAACACAGCCAGAAGATAAAAGCACCAGGAGGAACTCACCATGTGCTTGGCCTGGCCTTGGCTCTTCTCTGGGGTCTGCTTAAGTAGCCAGGGTGCAGAGAGAACCTCAATTGCGTTGGGGACTTGAGAAGACAAAGCTGACTGGTTGCCCAAGGAAGTTGTGGCTGCTCCTCCCTGGAAGTGTTGAAGGCCAGGCTGGATGAGGCTTTGAGCAACCTGGTCTAGTGGAAGGTGTCCCTG